TAAAGGTGAATGACACACTTAAGAATCATAGCAAGATGGATGGGGTGGTAGTGAAGCTTCCCAAGTCCATGTCTGGCAAAAGAGTATTATGTTTCAGAAGCCTAATGGCAAACAGGCTTTGTGTTTGCATTTTCTCTTCCTGGCTCATTACAGTGCAGCTTGCCCATTATTCCCCTAAATTACCAAGTTTCTGCTTTAGTAGATTGTCTACATCAAATATTGTCAGCGTTGCACAATAATGAGTTCTATGCCAAGAGAGAACGTCAGGAAGTCACACCAACTACGTTGGAAATGAAACACACTTCCCCAGTTTTCCACATTTAATTCACAATGGTAGCTGCGGTTTAAGAATTACAGCTGTTTACTTGGCTCCCAATTTGCTACATTATAATGAGTCTCTTTTTTGAGGCAGGGAAAAGGGCTATTTCAGTGCCTAAGGATAGTCAATATCAGATTGCATGCTCAACTACTGCTAGAGGTTTTTTTTTATTATTTTTTATGAAAAGAGCTTTCACGGTTTACCTTAAAAGGGTAGGAAACTGAGATGTTGGGACCCCTCTTAACTGTTAAAGTAGGCTTCTGTTGCCCTTTACTAGGTGAGACGCCTGTTACCAGATGAAGGATTCAATCCAGTGAACAATTATCCTCACAAATAAGGTCTGAAACTGAACAATCTCCAAAAAGATTTAAATCTAGAATATAAAAATATTTCCTTTTTTCAGATACTCTGTCTATACAAAATACATATGTCTATATGAACTATAGCAAGAAAGAAATTCAAATGCTAAATGTGGGGTTGGATGTTGTAGCTCAGTTGATAAGGTGCCCCTCTTGCGTGTACAAAGGCCTTGTTTCTACACCTGGCATGAACCAGGTGTAGAAGCACAGGCCTATGAGCAAAGCACTTGAGAGACAGGCAAGAGAATCGAAAGTTTCAAACCTGTCCTCCACTGCATGTATTTAAGGCCAGCCTGGGATACAGGAGACCCTGTCTCAAAACATGGGGGCACAGGGGAGGGGGTGAGGACAGGACCCTTGTTGCTATGCTCTTGAGACTGAACAAACTCAATGCACTCTTACACTCTGAAAGTAAACTCCCTTGGAGAGGTTCTGTTCTCTGATCATGGAACAGTGGGAAGGATACCAGAAATTAAAAGGTGGACATCTTTCCCTCCTGTCTGCTGGGCGGGAATATAGGTCACTGAGATCAGCTGGTATCTCATCTTTATCTGTCCTCCTTTCGGTGGGATGCTAATGAGCTGAGGACACGATCTCTACCGAAATACACATAAAAGACATTGCACTCACTAGGTAACCTCAAAATCAATATCAGCACCTCACCTCAGCCTGACCTGGCTGTTCTGCCATCCAGACTTACTCACAAGCCACACACAGAAACAAAAGACCACTGAAATGGTACCTATACAAAACTTTGAGGTCCTAACAAAAGGAGGTTGGGAGTATGTGACTTAGATACTAACTGGGAAGCGTTCTTCCATTACCAAGTTAACACCAGAGCAAATGACAGTAATTCACAATCCTTATCCCAGAGGGATAAAATGCACCTTCATTTTGACTGAAGTGCGCTGTAGAGAAAACAAGTTTGGCAACCAAAGTTGGCAAAGGTTTTTTCTTTTTTTTCCTTGAACTAATAGAATACAGACCTAAGACTTGGAAGCACAAGACTGTAAGATGCTAGGAAAGACCCCATCCCAGTGAGAAGCTTTGTGAATCATTTTCTGAACCACACACCTGAAGCTCAGTGGTTCCTAGCTTTGTGGGAAAGGCTTGTTACCTCTGATACAGCTGTAACTTTGAAGTGTTTTCACATTAGAACCCAAGATTCTCAAACCCAAGCCATACTCTAAATATTTACAAAATGAACCTGTGTCAGTCTTAACTGTGTTTTGTTTTTAAGCACCTATTTGTGAACCTATTTGTCGGCAGAACCACATTACCAACACTAAAGACAGCTCTTTAAACAAAGTAGGTCAAATAAAACTATCCACAAGCACATTCTCAACACTCAGAACTACCTGCTGAGAAGAGAAGGGCAGGTCTCAAATTCTACCCACCACGCTTCTCTATCAGCCTTGTCAAGATGGTTCATACCCCAGACCCACCAGATTTGACCACTGCATAACGACACCTTTACCAACACCACGCAGATGTCTTTCCCTAGGAATGGCCTGGAACAGATCCTGTTTATAGAACAACTCTGCCCCAGATGACAAGACTGATGTCTCCCAGCAACTCCAGGAGCCACTGGTGTACTGACAAAAGCTTCCAGGTCTTTCTCCTTGGTTTCCTGCCATACACCTTCTGGGAACATTATCTGGGCCAAGGGGAGTACAGCTAATAAAAGTATCTAGTTGTGTGCACTAAAGAAATTACAATAACCTATGTAAGTGGATGCATTCTAAAAGCAATTATAAAATAACAAAATAAATCATCTTTACACTCATGGAAAGAACTGTAGCAAGATGTGTTGACAAAAAAACAACAACAAAAAAGTAAAAACAAATTATATAACTATCAGGAGATAGAATACAGACCTTGGATTTCCAATCCTCCTTATTATTCATCTAACAAATGCTTATTAAAGAAACCTGTTCCAAATTCTGGAACGACTGGGGAGACAAAGAGCCTGCCTTCAAAGAGTTACCACAGAGAGCAAAGACAAATAAGCTAATAAATGAAGGACATTTTCCCATTATGATAAATCCTAGGACAAAAAAAATACACAATAAAAGAATGAAAACTTCTGCTATTGCTGCCTCACAAGGATGTAACCACCTACTTAAGACAAGATGATGAGTGTTAACCACTTGGCACAACAACCCAAGCAATAACCTGTACATGAATGCCCTTGCACAGAAACTCCTATTTACACCCCTCCCCCATTTTTTGAGAGATAATACACTCAGGATGAAATACAAACAGAGGATGGGAAACAAACATCTTAACAATTTAATTGCCTTTTGTTCAATTAAGTTACAAATAACTACATTCATCAAGAATCTACAAACCACAAAATGTAAACAGCTAATTGTGACTAGAACATAAAAGCCCAGATGCTTAAGGTAATAGTATTATCAAGGGTACTCTAAATTTAAAAATAGTACTTACAGCTACCATGCCCATTTTTCAACAGCACCACAAGAATCTTGGTTTTGGGGGTCAGCAACACAAACCGAATGCTACAATGTCAGAGCTCGGTTTAAACCTTGTGTTATTGGGAGGAGGGCTCTTTTTCCGAGTTGCATGACTTTAAGCCCACAATCAACATTAGGTATTCTTTGAACTCGAACTTGCCTGCCCACTGTCAGTGAGGTGCCTGGTGCCCTCAGAGGTAATGGATTAGCCCACGGCTATGGAGAGGTGGCACAGGACCGACCCAGTTTCACTTTTAAGGACCCTCAGCAGCTGGAATTCAAATTGTATGAAAGTGATTGCGATGGATTGTGCTCCCACACTTCAATTTCAGTCATGAATTGCTCTGTCATTTTCAGGTAATGACACCTCAGGCTATTTGCTGACCAGGGAGCAGTGTAGGCCTGGGCAGTGACCTTGTTAAGAAAACTGCCTCCAACACTATTAACTATGGCAATGGTGGAAAGACACAGTACACTTGATGCAGGAAAGGCATCTTCCAAATTTAGTTTGCCTCAGAACAAAAGCCCAAGACAATTCCTTTTGAGACGATGTAGCAGCATGAGGGAGGGAAAAGGGTCCGAAAGGGGTGTCCAAGCTATGTAGGAGAGAACGGGGGAATCCCAGAGCTGCCAGAGGGAGGGAGCAGCTGGGCCTGGGGCAAACATTTGACCACACCCCCGGCCACGCCCTCCCAGCTGCCCGCAGAGCCACAACGAATTGAAACAGCAGTGTGAGCTGTTAAGATTCCGAAGGCAGAAGTCGCCATGGCAACAGGATTCGTCTTGCAGGCAAACTATGCTTCAATTCACTAGGTCCGGCTCGAATCTCAAGAAACTACCAGTTCAATGAGGGCAAAACGGTCACGGTAGCATTTACTATGGATGCTCAATGGAGGTCGATGGTGGGAGTGAAGGACTGGAGAGCAAAATTCTATTCCTGAGCACAGTAAAACATGTTATGGGGAGGGGACAGAACGCCCCAAACCTTGGCTGTAAGGAACGTGCAAAAGCCCTTAGAAGGGTCTGATGAATGTGTGAGTAAACGAACGAATGAAGCTGACGGAGAACGGGGAGAGAAAATCCAGAGGACTTTATAGAGTTATCGGGCCGGGCCTCGCCTCCTCTCCAGTCAGGGGACAAACCAATCACAAACAGCTGGTTTGGGGCACCAGTTGGATAAACCCGATTATCCAGCCCTTCTGCCCCCCACAGCGAACCTTATCATTAGGTTATCCTCCACCCCGTCACTTCGGGGTTCTAGAGAAGGCGTTTAGCCCCCGCCCAGGTGCCCTTTACAGGGCTCGATTCAAGACTGAGATGCGCCCCTCCGAAGCAGGACGCGGGGAACGGAGTCCGGTCCCGGGGAGGCGCATCTCCCCGCGTCGCAGCCAGCCGCCAGCCAGCTCGCGGCCTCCGCAACGCCAGGCTTCCCACTTCTCTCAACACACAGCAAGCACGGTCACTGCCTGGATAACAGTCACTCCCTCCAGTTTGAGTACGCTTGACGTGAAGGTGCCAGGGATGGTGAGGGACTCGCGGCCACCACGGTGCCCACAACCTTACAGAGCCAGCGGCCCAGGAGCGCCGCCCGCTGCCGCAGCTCCCGCAGCCCTGGTCCCGGGGAACCCTCGGCCGGGAGGAGAGCTGTACCCGGCCGGTTCCACTGCCACAGAGCGTCTAGGAAAGAAAGAAGGGAGGGACCCCATCCTCGGGGACGCCTTCCTTCGGGCTCGCCTCGCTCCGTGCCGCGCTGCAGCCATTTTCCAAAGCCTAGCTTGGCAGCCCGTAGCAGTCTCGGTCCCGTTCCCACCCAGACCCAACCTGAAGGACGAGTTTAATATTTACCTACTGGCCCGGGAGCTCCGGGAAGCAGCAGGAAGGAGTGCCGCCAACAGCGCGAGGAACCAGCACGCCCACCCCGCGCCACGGTGCGGTGCCGCTAATGAATGAGTACGGCGGGCGAGCCAAAGCGTCCCCTCACCTGAGCAGCTGCTGCATGCTGAAAAGGCCGCTCTGCGTCCCCGGTACAATGGGATCCGGTTAAACAGTTCCCTTCACAGCCGCTCGTAGGTTACCAACCCGCAGGTGACATCACCCTCGCCTCGTCTGATAGGATACAATGTGGCGTCCACTGCGCATGGGATGCCCTGATCGGGCCCTTGGGATTCTGGGAGTCATAGTCTAAATTCTGCACACAGAGCCTAGGTAGCCTCTCCATTGTCGCCCACAGGAACTACATTTCCCGAGGTGCCTCTCTTCAGCTCTGTGCCCGCCCCTCCCCGCCCCTTCGGACCCGCCCCCTCCCCGCCCTCCAGTCGAGCAGTGCCTGCGGTGGTCGTTCAGAAATCAAGCAGCAGGCGGCTTGGCCGAGAGGGAGGGGCACCCAGCGGCCGTGCCCTTTGACTTGACCTCTGTTCCTGCCAACTAGCGGGTAGGCTGCGGGACCGAGTGGCGTCCTGAACTCGCGCACACCTACTGGGCACTTCTGATCCACTGGGCTCTCCTGCCCCCAGCTGGGAAGGGTCCATAAAAGCCTTTCTCTGCCTTTCCTTAAAGCGACTAATTCCTAGGACTCCAGGGGTTCTGTCTGGGTTGAACACCGCCTGTATTTCCTTCCCCCTGTCCCCACGGATCAAACGCTAGCTGTGAAAAAGAGGAATCCCCCTGCCCGACCCTTGGTTCTGTTCACCTTTCTCCTCTCGTTCCTTCTCCCCCTTTTTAAGACCGAGTAGCCAAGAAGAAAGACAGGAACAGAGCTTAGTCCGCTGACCTGACAGAAAAACTGGCAGCTGTCACTAATGAAAATGCAGTGTAATAGAAGACAGACAGTCACCACAACCCTGTGACCGCGAGCCTGCTGCTGTGGAGATAATACTATCGCACAGCCATGCTTTTGTTCATCCCTGAAGAGACTTCCCGCCCTGGTGGCTCACAACTCCTTCGAAGACCGCATGCATGTCTAAAAGTTTTAGTTAATTATGCATTCATAAAATTTAAAATCTGCAACACTCCCTCTACCCTTGCTCCCCACACGTTTCCTTTTAAAACTGTAAAAAAAAAAAAAAAAAAAAAAAATTAACCCTTAAAAGAGTAAACAGTGTCAGGCAAGGATTGCCCAGATCTTTTGACAACTAAATGTGTATTCAAAGGTAAGCAAAGGGTGTGTAGTGGCATTCTGATCCTTCTGGCAGTTTTGGTTTTAATACATAAGTCTTCTATGTCGTTATCTTATTCAATGAATACCAAACATGAAAAATTAACAGCCATTAAAAAAAATTTATTTATTCAACTTTCAGTGGCACTGTGATGAGCTCATATGCCCACTTCCTTGAGCAAAATTAAAATTTCATTCCTCAGGAAATGAAGATTGACAATTAAAATTTCCAACAACTCTTCACCTAATTGCTGGTGGAATATCACCTCCCCTCTCCCCTCTTCATATTGAAACACTAAGGTTCAAGTGAAATATATTCTTGGATGATGCTCTCAGAGAAAATGTAGCTTTGTGATAGAGGAGGTCTACTGCTGAATTCTCATTTCCTTTTGGCAAGCCTATTCTGTACAGACCAGACCCATTTTCCTCCACAGAAATTCTGATCTACTCGGTCCATCTCAACCATTATCTTAAATGGAACCCAGACAACACAAATGTTCCTTTGGCCATCAGACCAAGGGGACAGACAGTGATGCTCTAGCTAATGGATAGGCTTAATATATTGCACAGTTCGCTGTGGTAAAATATTCAGGAAGAAACCCGACCTGGGATGATTCTAAAGGCTCCCCCAATCTTATAACTATGGAAAGCTTTTAGGTGGAAACATAAGCAGTGAGCTTGAAATTTACTGAGTCAATAAATTGAACTTGGAGCCTTTCTACTAGGCAAGGTTTATCCTTGTAGATGAAAGCATGCTGTTAATGCACACTCAGAGAAATAAATTTCTAGAAGAAATCACCTTTCAGCAAGCTCTCTTGGTTCTTAGCAATAAAGAAAAGGAATAGACTCTTGCCCAGAGCAAAATAATCCATTCTCTATATCAGTATTGCAGGCTGTGCAATGTAGCACAGCTGATCTCCACATATAAAGCACAGTCTGCATATTAGACAAAACAGGTGTGTGTGTGTGTGTGTGTGTGTGTGTGTGTGTGTGTGTGTGTACACGAGCTTTCATCAATCACTCTAAATATAGATAATAGAAAGCTTGGTATTTGAAAATGGTTTTCTGTAAGTAGTGATGGATTTAAACTGATCCCTCCACACTGTTGCTTTGGTAACCAAGGGAAACAAGATGGCTCTTTAGCATCAGAAATGCTGTCTGTGGACCTGAAATCAGTGGAAGCTTAAACACTTCCACGATGGCATAGAAGAACTCATGTTCACACACATGCTCTCTCTCTCTCTTTCTCTCTCTCTATCACACACACACACACACACACACACACACACTTTCACACACTCATTGTAATGTCTGTATTTAATTCTTTCTGTGAGACTCAGTCTCAGAAACCATGAAAAGCCCTCATTCTTTCTAGCTTAATTTATATTCTGAACCAAAAAAGGTCTCCATATTATTTAAAAAACAAAACAAAGCAAAAACTGATGTTCTCCTGGAATTACTTTACAAAATTACTTTACAAAAGCCCCAACATCATTCAACAGTCATCAACTATTAATTAGGAACACTTGGAGCCATTGAGAATAGACTCGTCTCTATGGAGAGGGTAGGAAACAAAGGCATCATGGGGCATGTTGCTGATATTTCAAAATAACATCTTCAGTCTCTGGTTACAAGGTTTTACCTCAGGGAGGAAATAAGACACCAAAAGAGAAAAATGAACATTTGTCGCTTTACATGTGTTATCATGTAACAGATTGTATTTCACAGTAGTTAAGGCTTTATGTTGAGCCTGGGTTTGAGATTGGGCCATTTTACTGTTTTAAGCCCTGCAACTTTGCTTATGTGTGTTATTTATTCTCTCTGAGCCTCGGTTTCCTTTCTTACAAAATAGAATTAGTAAGAATACTTCATACTTTTGCATATTAGATGGGGCATGTAGGAACACTTTTGAGGGAGGAGGCAGAGTTGGGGTTAATAAAGATGTTTTAAAATCCACTTAAGTATGATGGTTAAGAGAAAGACAGGCTCTCAGAAGAACGTAGGACACAGGAGAAAGCATGGACCTAGACTTTGGAAAGAGCTGCAGAAAGCAAGGCTTACTCAAATGTTAGGGCAAAATTCTCAATAGAGTATTGCCAAAGACTATTAGTTGCTCCCCACAAGCCAATGATAAGGGCCTATTGCTGAAGTCAACACTTACATATCTCATTGAACACAGAGGAGTCAAGCTGGTGTCTGCGGAGAGCCTTCACACCTACCGATTGATGTTCATAGTTCTGGCAGGTACTCTGCATGTTACCAGAGACAAAAGGTAAATACCAACCCAGCTACAGAACCTTTCATCTGCAACGATGACCTGCCTGCAGGGTATGCTGGTACAATGATAGCATAAACATTGTCCGAGTAACCAACTATTATCTGATTGTATTTGAGGCCCACTCCATGAGATGAAACTCATGCCCAACACTGCTCAGGTGACCATGAATCTGAAACTAGATAGGCTATAGACCACAGCAAAACCAAACTGTTTTTCCAATAAAGGAGTGCAGCAATAAAATTACTCCTAATGACATTCTGCTACACCCATAGATCATTGTCTCGTCCAGTCATTATGGGGGGGAAGCTTCCTCCTACAGTTGATGGGAACTAACACAGAGACCCACAGCTAAACAATGTGTAGAGAGTGAGAGACCTAGGAGCGCTCAGTCCTAAATGGGAGGGAGGTCCTCTCAAAACCCCTCCCCTCAGGGCTCAGGAAAGTATGTGAAAGAGGAAGCAGAAAGAGCCAGAGGGGATGGATGACACCAAGGAAACAGTGTCTTCCAGACAAAGGAGGGCTGAAGGACATATGAACTCTCAGAGACGTGTGGCGGCATGTACAGGCTCTGCACAGGTCCAAACCAAGTCAGGTTCCCACGCTGGGAGAGAGAATCAAGACTCCCCTGGCATATGAACCACACTTAAGGGCAGACCCCCTGCCCAGCAGTAGATGGCCAACACAAAATGGATTTAATTGTATTTTTGTAGACTTTTCATCTCATAATGCCTTGTTTGGGCATTTTTACCTTACTGGTCTTTTGCTTGTATATTATAGTTTTCTGATTTTGTGCTGTTTTTATGGGTTGTCTGTGTGTGTGTTTGCCTGTCTGTCTGTCTGTCTGTATATATATATGTGTGTGTGTGTGTGTGTGTGTGTGTGTGTATTTCTCATGCTTCTTCTTTGTTGTTTTTTGCTTTGTTTTAATTTTTATTTGCCTGTTTGTTTTCTAACGAGAGAATTCATGGAGTTGGAAGGGTGGGGAGGCGGGGAAGATATGGGAGAAGATGAGGGAAAGAAACCTGTCATCATAATATATCATATAAAATGAATTATTTTCCATAAAAAAGAAGGGAGGGTTGCTAGAGAAACACTTCTGAAACAGAGAACTATAAAAATGTTAGTTCTTATAGTCACCTGCAATTTTCCATGCTGGACCTAATTTTGAAAGTGTTAATAAGAACTCATTGAAGTCAGTTCTTATTCATGACAACACATGATTAGGAATTGTATTATATGCACACCCTATCTTATTCTACATTACAAGTGGTCTACGGGAACTTAGAAGGGAAAAAGGAGAGTGGGGATTGCAAAGGGGAATATGCTGCTTCTTAGCTCATTCTTCGGTATTAACTTCTTCCCCAGGGCCTTGCTGTCCTCGGTCTCATGAGGAGCCTTTCCCAAGCTTCCCAGCATGGAGAGGCACTTCTGAGACTGAAGGCAGAAGAAGGAAGAGCTTCGCCCTTTCTCCACCTCCCCAGAGAAGCTTTGGGTGATGTTTCAGTGACATGTCATAGCATTTCCCATATTAAAATTCCAGCTTCTTCCAGGTCATCCTGGCCTGGATTAATACTTTCTCCTTTTGTTCCTTTAAGCTAGGAATGAAGATGGCTGCTGCTAATTTCTTGGTTCCATTTTTGGTTCCTGGGGTCTTTTTTAC